CAGACCCTAGATTGTGTTGTGCAATACTTGAGGAATGCGTAGAGAAATGGGCACTGTTGCTCAACTGTCACTACTGATGACCTGAAATGACAAGGTATTAAGAAATCAAGTAGCTGTGGAACTTGACTGCTGCAGTGATAATGCTTTTTAAAATAGCGTCTCATGTGGGTTATTTTGATGGCACCCTAGAGAACATAAGTGGAGAAAAGGAGACACGAAATAGCCAGACTTCATGAGCAGTCATGGCTATAAATGTATTATGCATGTAGTTGCAATATAGACAGTATCGCTTAGTGCTCTACATAAGATCTAACTATAGGTTTGCAAGGATTGTGTCACCAATTAACCCTCAAATCCATGTGGTTACTTAAGGTAATGTAAGGACACTTAAAGGGAAAGAAAGGAGTTGGGATCCTGAATCGTAGACTGAAGGTTTACTTAGTAGAGAGAAATCACACTCAGGTTTCGCTAGTCTCACATGTGCTCCGTCTCAGTTGGATTGCTAAAATGTGGAATAGCCTGTTGATAACAGTTCTGAGAAAGCATGCTCGTACGTAGGAGGCTGTTTTATCCGTTTGAGTATGTACCCTAAATGAGTGGCTGAATTAATCTAGTAACAAAACAAATGTTTGCAAAACTGTACTAGTAATTTATTAGTACAATAAATTCCTGGCAATTGATAATGTACAATTTGTTTTTCAAAAATTGTAAGCCATAAAAAGAAAGAAGAAAAACTTGTTGGGATTGAAAACAAATGACAGAAAACTCACTAATATAATATTGGCAATAAGAAATAAAGTCCTGAGCTTGAAAAGCCAGTGAGGAAATTACTAACTGCAGGTGTTTATTCGCCCTGCTCACCCTAAAAAGACTCAGGACTGGCAGGAATTTTGAGTTTAGTATATGTAAATATCAAAATACTAAAATATTTAAATGACATTTTGGGTTAGTTCAAAAAATTTAAAAATTCGAAAATAAATTCTGCAAAAAAGCTGAGAAATTTAAAATATATCTACATAAAGGAAATTGACATTTTAAGACATTTAGACTCAATTAAATGTTAATTCTATCTGGTCTATGCTTGTATATAAGAAAAGAAAAAGAAAAAGGCATTGTATCTAAGTTCCTTAAAGAACTGAAAAGTAAGGAGGCTTGGGAGATGGTCAGTTGGTAAAGTGCTTGGTGTATAAGCATAAGGACTTAAACTTGCTCCCCAGCACTCTGGGCTTACTCTACCAGCGTGTATAGCACTGGGGATTCCTGGGCTTGCTCACCACTAACTGAATCCATGAGCTTCAGGTTCAGTGAGAGATCCTGCTTCAAAAAACAAGATGGAGAGTGATTGAGGAAGACATCCAGTGGTGACTCTGGCCTCCTCATGAACATGTTCGTGTGTACATGTGTTGGCTACACACACACACACGCACATGAATGTATATACACAAACACAAAAGTAGTTCAGATTTGAAACAAAAGCATAAATTTATCAAAAGTACAATATTCTTTCTGTCAAGAATATCTTTTCTGAGTGTTTATCAGGAGCATAAATGGACATGCTTGTGTCGTTATACAATGCCAGAATTTATTGAATACAATAAATTCATGAACCCATATTAATTTTATTTGATTTAAGAAAGTCATATTTGCTTGCTAGCTGATCACTGACAGTTACAGGGTCTTTTATTTCAACCTTAATTATTGATATAACTCCCAGATCACATATTGCACCTCACTGTATGGGTGGGTTGCAGAGTCTTCCTTAAGAAGGGGTCAAAGAGGCTGCCTGTGTTCAGTTTGTAGAGGGGCTGTTCTGAAGGCAGACGGGGGAACAGGGGCAGGCCAGTAGGGCACTAGACCACAGCTGTTCAAGTGCAAAGACGTCATGCTGCTACATTTGACCTCTGGGTGCACCTTCTGGTACAGTCTCCAGTGAAGAGGGTACCTTTTGTGTGCTTGGTAAGCTCATGTGTCTTGTAATTTGACAGATTTCACTGTTTATTAGTAGAAAATACCAGTCTGTGTCTCCTGATGTGCTAGCAGATGATGGTATTTACTCGTGTAAACAAGATGTGGAGCCATTCTTTCTTGGCACTTACACTGAAAATGGAGTAACTCAGGTCAAGGCTGTTGCTTCATTAGGTAGAGCAAGCCATGGCTGGGCAGAGGTTAGAAGTCAATATTTCAAACAACACGGTGCAACCCAGAGCTGACCCAGCCTGTTCTCCATGGTGACTTAATATTTACAGGGAACTTTTACTAAAAATATTTTGTTTTTGCAGCTAGCAGAAGCCAGGACTCTGGAACACTTTCTGCTGCCTGTGGATCTTCTGTACTGACAGTTTACCCGAGAGCTCCAGCCACTGCACAGTTGCTTTCTGTTAGACACTTCCTGCCGCCCATCCTTTCCTCTTGGAGAGGAGTTGCAGGCAACGACAGTAAGGAGTCTCTCATCTCGACTGTTGTGGTTGCCCTTACCATCATGCCGAAGAATAAAGGCAAAGGAGGCAAAAACAGGCGCAGAGGTAAAAATGAAAATGAATCTGAAAAGAGAGAGTTGGTGTTTAAAGAAGATGGGCAAGAGTATGCCCAGGTGATCAAAATGCTGGGAAATGGACGGTTGGAAGCGATGTGTTTCGATGGTGTAAGGAGGCTGTGCCACATCAGAGGCAAGTTGAGGAAAAAGGTTTGGATAAATACCTCAGACATTATATTGATTGGTCTGCGAGACTATCAAGATAACAAAGCTGATGTAATCTTAAAGTATAATGCAGATGAAGCAAGAAGTCTGAAGGCGTATGGAGAACTTCCAGAACATGCGAAAATCAATGAAACAGACACATTTGGTCCTGGGGATGATGATGAAATCCAGTTTGATGATATTGGAGATGATGATGAAGACATTGATGATATCTAAGCTGAACTAAGCATGCTACATTCCAAGTTTTCTGAAGATACTTGGGGTCTTGACCTTCAGCTGTTAAGTAAAACTTCTTTTAGCATGAGTATGACTTGTTAAAGCAGATTGATGTATTTTTTTTGAAGTATTATATTTCTTTGAAAACCAAAGATGTCATTGTAAGTGACATGTTAACCCTTTGTTCTTATAGATGTAGCTGAACTTAGGGGTAGAGCAGTGTGCACTGTTGAGACTGCCTTTCCATTTGTGACGCTTCCTTTCTGGCACGTGCTTTGTGTCAGCAGTTGCGCCTGTCGAGCATCCTGGGCTGAATATGCCCCAGTTCCAGCACATCTGCTTCAGGCCCTTATGCCTTGAGACTTGAGTCAGGTTTCCACATTTGTAGTCAGAATGCAGCTGTTTTGTACTTACGGAGCCATGCCATTTTATACTTTCCATGCTCTGTACATTTTAGCCTTTATGTTGTTGCCACCCATAAATAAGCATTTCGCAGTGCAGTTTTTAAACTACATCAGTAGCAATTTCGAGTTTTAAAAATTAGCCGTTGCAGAAATTAAACACTTAGGTGATAATCATCTTGACTTTAGAAATACAGTAGTTGACAATGTTTATATGTAATTTTTACTTTCCTAAGGCATACGCAAGAATTGAAAATAAAAGTGAAATAAATATGTTCTGATACTTGCATAGAGAAGGTGGTTGTTAATAGCAGATAAAACATTTTTTTACTTTGCAAAGTAGGTTTTGTAAAAAGTCATTTCCAAAAAGTTAGCTACTGTATTGAGGCTTTGAGTAATTTAATTGCTGTGTATGGATTAAAGTTAATTACATAATTGTATAAACAAAGTCTTTTTTAACCTAAGCATAGGTTAAAGGGAGAGGAACCACAGCTTAATGCAAAGGCAGTCCCTGTTTCCTGAACGGCAGAGTCCAGAAGAGAAGCTCAGTGAAACATGTTGGCATAAAAACGCTTTTTCCTTTTAATATGTTCATTATCGCTCTGGTATGTAACAAAAATAAATGACTGGATGATTTTTAGTTCATCATGAGAGAGGCTTTTTCTTTAAATTAGACTCTGGCGCTTAAGATGAACTTACTGTTTGCTCATTCAAGTGATGCTGGTGTCGGTGGTCCGCAGTTCACCCGTGCTGCTTGGGAAGTGAGTATAAACCTTGCCGGTCAGCCCTCGGATGCCTTCTCCCTAAAGAGTAGTTGCTTTCTCAGGCTTTGTTCCAGGCACCTTTAAATGGTGACTGGACATGAGAATAACAGTGTTCACCTTTTTCTTTTTTCCCAATTAGCCCATAATAATGTAGCTTAAGAAAATTCCCCAGTCAGAAAGAAGGAAAAAGAAAGAAAAGCAAATTCAGTTTTCCTGGTCGTTGATGGGTGGATCTCTTTAAATGGGTGTGCAGTTCCTTGTAAAGGCTAATTTTGTAAAATGGAGCTAGACATGGTGGAGCTAGGCTCCAAAGACTAGAGGCATTGTCTTTCTCCCCAGGACAGTGTGTCTTCTGGAAAAAGAACACATTGTTGGAGCTTGTTCTACATAGCATACCTAACTATACTGTTAGCTGACATTTGTCCCATTACCACTATAAATTGTTAATACAGAAGAAGTGTGATCATGGGCCAGCTAGCCTGGTGTATTCAACAGCAAACAAGAGACTGTTCCTTTAGATCGCCAGTCAGATCTTATTCTAGCTTCAGGGTTTCTCACCCTCAGTGCCAGTATTGACCACAAAAACAATTCATGTAGATCATATCCTAGGATGTGTTATGATGGCTATCATTCCAGGTTAGCCTTGAAATAGCCATGCCCCTGCCTTAGTGCCTCCCCGCTCTGCTCACATGATTTTAAACTGATTTCCTAATAATAGCTCATACATGAACACTGTGCCCTTAGTCAGCAACTTTTTATTCTTGTGTTACATTTTGCTCCTAATACCTCCAATTTTATCCACATCCATTTGGAAGTACCCAGTTTTCTACCTCCCCTTAGATGGTACATTGCTCTGTTTCTGTTCCTGAGAATACTGGGGTTTGTGCTGTCATCATAAACACCAATGGAACAGACGCAAAGTTGAATCTAGAAAGTTGTGTTTTACTCAGAGCTTGCAGTCTTGACAAGTGGATTAAGACTTGAAAAGAACTGCATCTTCAAGACAATGGATCCAGGGAGAGCTGCAGGGAAAGGCAGTTGATCAACCTCCTGTTCTTTCCCTTCATCCTCTGAACATCCAGGCTGAGTTTGGTGTCTGCCAGTGTCAGCCTTGAACTCCTCCAAGACCATTGGATCTGGGGCCAGGGAGCAGTGCAGAAAAGAACAATCCGTTACAGTGTGCACATGCTAAACTGCGAACAGCGTCTATGTGTAAATTCCTTCCTGCAACATGGTGCACAAATGTGCCCCTACAGCATGGACTGCTCAAGTTCCCTTATCCTCCCCTCCCATTCTGTCACTTGAATTTGTCTTCATGTCTTTCTGTTTTGCTGTTCACACCAAAACCACAGCCTAGGATCCATGTTTCTCTGATCTTACACAGAGGTGATATGGTGGGAACGATCACAGAGGCGCCTCCTAACTCTGCCCCTATTTAGCAAAGGACTTTGTTTCTGATTTTATTGAGCAAATGGGAGTCAATGCCCGAGCAAACCCCTTACTGACCCTCCCCCCCCCGCCCCAGCCACCTACAAATACATCTCAGCCTGCACCTCTGTCCCCTTCATACTGTCCCAGGAAGAGGCATCTTTCCTCCTAAAAAGGGCTATAGTGGATATTTAATCAACATTTATATGCTGAACCACATTCTGTGCGCCTTAGGTAATGACTGACCTTGGAAAGATGGCAGGTGGCTCAGCATCTTCTCTTACTAAATCCTGCATTGCCAGCCACAGGTATTTTTCAAGGCAGAAATCCTGCATCACATGGGCCAAGTTGGAGGCTGCACCCCAAAGGTCTGAGAGTCATTCATAGGAGCCTTGTCTTCCGAAGAGCCAAGGCTCTTCCCCTGCAACTGGGGTGCTTTTTCTAAACAGGTATGGAAAGAGAACTTGACACTCAATAAGAAACAAGCAAGAAAGATGGGGCATAGTTGAAACTAGGGCAGGAAGTAGAAAGTCTTAAGACTGGGGAGCGGGGGAGAGACGAGTGAAGGATACTTAAGGCAGAAGCTCCTTGGCCAGTGTTTGTGTCACTTGCTGCCACTCCTGTCTTCCCAAGACTTTCTGTGGGGATTTTCACCTCTGCGTTGCCTGAAGATATCACGGGAAGAGAGCAGTCATAACTGAATGTGAGCCCCTGCATACAACGCCTGTGCAGACAGAAGTTAGAGGGAGAGTTTGGATTTCCAGAAGACTGACTGAGGCTGTCTTAGGGTTTCAGTTGCTGTGAGGAAACACCATGACCAAAGCAAGTTGGGAAGAAGGGTTTGCTTGGCTTACACTTCCACATGGCAGTCGTTGAAGGAAGTCAGTCAGGACAGGAACTCAAACTGGGCTGGAACCTGGAAGCAGGAGCAAACGCAGAGGCCATGGAGGGGAGTGACTCACTGGCTTGCTCCTCATGACTTGCTCAGCCTGCTTTTTCAGAGAACCCAGGACCACCAGCCCAGGGGTAGCTGCACCCTAGGTGAGCTGAGCCTTCCATGAATCATTAACTAAAATGCCCTACAGTTAGGTCTTATGGAGGCATTTTCTCAGCTGAGGTTCCATCCTTTCAGACGACTAGCTTGTGTCCAAGTTGGCGTAAAGGTAGTCAGCACAGTGTTTAGGTTGATTGGCCATGCCTCATGAGGACTAAAGGTCCTTGACAGTGCTGTGCACAGGCAATCAACTGATGGACCACAGGCAACTCTTAGCACTTAAAATAAGACTTCCCAAGCACGAACAGTATCTGAGGAGCCTTCCAAGCAGGGGGTCCTTTTATCCCTATAGGTCTCTCTCTAATGTATAATTTTGCAGCCATATTTTCCTAATACCAAAGGGTTCCTAAATTGAGTAATCGTAATCTAAAATTAGCCACGTGCTGGGGTTAACTGGAGAACCTTACACAGGCATCTAGCTGCTGCTGAATGCTACACAATCCCCAAAGTGCCACGCGCAGAAAGACCAGAGCTCCCATCATTCTCGGGCAGGCTAAACTGCATCATCGACATCTGCCAGGGGTCATGGTCTCAGCGGCTCCCATTCTTCAAATGGTCACTATGATGTCACTTTTATAGATGTTTATGCTTGTGGTCTGTAGAATTGTCACATTTTACTGTTTTTCTTCTGGCTCTCTCTAATTTGTTAGCACCAATTTCTTCCCTCCTGTGGAAATGGAAACAGCCTGGTGAGGTAGGTTTTCCTTCTAAAGGTTCAGCAATTGACGACTAGTAACTGCAGGCATTCTCGTAATGCGTGTGTTAGCTTCTGCCGTGTGTCCTGCACATAGCCCAGGGGACGCTAGAATGGGAAGGCTGTGTTCAGTGACTCTGGAAAACCTCGTGCACCTTTCTTGTGCTCTCTAGGGTTAGCAGGCGATGGCCACTGACTTGGTTTCAGCCGTTTGAGTCTTCTTCCTCTTCCTCCTCCTCCCCTTCTTCCATCTTCCTCCTCCACCTCCATTTTTTTTTTAAGTCAATTCTTGTGAATCTTTTCCAAGAATCTTTTCAAACAGCCAGCTTTTAGACTTGCTGGTTTCTCATTCTCAGCTTCATTCTTTGCACTCTTACCTTGACTGTTTCTCCTGTTGTATATGTAGTTTTCTCTTACATGCCTTAAAGTACTCCACTCACATGAGGTGGTTTGGAGCGTGCGCCACGCTGCCCGGTAAGATTTTATTCTTTATGCTGGCATTTACAGCTATAAATTCCACTGAAAGGACTACTGTGGTGGCCTTCTACAGGTTTGGGGGAGGTTGGGGAGGAGCCCAGGGTGAGCCCAGGGTACTCACTGTGCTCTGCTGCTCCCTGGTGTCCCTGACCCTGGCCTCTTTCGTCACTGCTGTTACAATGGGCACTGCTACACGAAGGTTTCTCGTGAGGAACGGAAAAGTCACTACAACAGAAGCACTTCACCTTACAATCCACGCTAGGTCAAGAACATGGCCCAGCACCAGAGTTAATGCATATACTGGGCAGGGAGAAACTAAAGTCAGAATCTAAGTTTAAAGGCATTGCTGTATACCAAGCTGACAATTAAACAAGAATAGAACGGGGAGCGATTGTTCCAGACCCTGGACATGAGCCGCTGATCGAGACAGATAAAGAGACCCAGAACTCCTGAGTTAAGAGCTGATAAACGTGCTACAAACAGATGGAACGTTTTTAATTATGCAGTTGTCAAGCGTACAAAGCATGGGAAAAACCCACAATATTTTTATCACTCAGCCCAACAATGATTGACACATGGCCAAACTTATTCAGTCTGTAACTCCCGTACTTCAGACCTGCTTGAAGGCGCAGTAAATGCTTTGACTCTTGTTCCCTCCTCTGATTGTTAGTTAAAACAAAGCAAAACAAAAACCTAAAGCAGAGCCCTTAATTTTTCCAGCCGTGGCATGGTGAGAAGGGCTTTTGTTCTGAGTAGGCTAGCCTCCCGTGAAAAGCCTGGGGTGGCCTGTGTTCACTCACCAGCCCTGGACGGAGCCTCTGTAACAATCTGAGCGGACCGTTACACCAGCCACAATGTGATTCTGGCTCTCAGAAATGAATGTTGAAGAAAAATCTCTCTAGACGCATACACATATATGTGTGACATGTACACAGAGTCTCCCATTTCATCTACCGTGGTGAGCCTGTCCTTTCTTTAAACAGGAAGGATTTCACTGTGACTGCAGACTGTCACTGTTTTCTCCTCTGTGAGCCACCCATCCCCAGCTACTCCCCCTGAACACACGGTTTTCATCTCAGCATTTGCACTGGCTAGCAGGTTATTCTCGGACCTACATGTCTGTCCATAACGTCTAGGCCCATACCCATTTTCTTCTGCCAGGCTGGTACACTTGTTTTAAATAAAAGTACCCTGTTCAGTGAAGAAGGTTGAGGAGGAATGTTAGGCCAAGCAGGAGAATGGGCTCCCTTGAGCTTAACATTTTAAGGGGATTAAAAAACCAAAGAGTTAAAGGGTGGAAACATGGCAGGAAATTCTCCAAAATACTAGCAATATATGACCAAGGGCGTTAGGGTTAGGGGCATCATTTTTAATCATTTCTTTATAAAATATGCAACATTCCATGTTTTCTCTTTTTAATTTATTCACGGAGGAGGTGCCTGTAGAGGACAGAGCGCTCAGGAGCCTGTTTTCCCACCCTGTGGTCTCCACCGATCCATCTGACTTGCCATTCTCAGCAGCAATCACCTTTACCCACTGAGCCACCTCACTGCCCAAAGTATTTAAACAGTCAGGGAAAAAAAAAAAAAAAAGAGAGAGAGAGAGAGACAAAACACAGAAACTTCTCCAAAACCACAGCACTAGAAATTGTAAACGAGATTAAAATGTTACAGAATCACTTTAAAGATTTAAGAGCTAGGCCTGGAGAGCAGGCTCAGTGGTTCTGCTCTTCCAGAGGACCAGGGTTCCTTTCCCAGTGCCCAAATGTCAGCTCACAGACAACTGTTAACTCTACTCCTTGAGGATCCAGCACTGTCTTTTGGCCTCTGTGGGCACTACACACACACACGTGATATATAGATGTAAGCACCGGCAAGACACACATATATTTAAAAGCTAGATAAAACATTTAACAACAACAACAAAGCCCAGACTTAGCAGTCAGACTTGCTCAAAAGTGTCACAGACACTTGGGACTGAGGTGTAACTCAGTGGCACTACGCTTGGTCACCATATTTAGGGTCTTAGGTTCAGCCCCCAGTTCTGAACGTGCCCACAGAATGCTGCTCCCAAACCATTGTTAAAGCACAGTTGTGTAGTTTTTAGGTTTTTTTTTTTCTAAATCAGAGATAATATATGTTTACTTCAGAAAATCTGGAGACTACAGAAAAGCACACAGAATGAAATACACATCGTCCCCTCTGAAGCTTCCTGAGGCAGCCACGGGAGGGTTGCCCTCTGTTATTGTGGGCCAAGGTGTCAACTGACAGCCTCCAGTTGTCACCCCAAGAGATTTACAACAGCACACCCAGAAGCCACCCCCTAGAACCACACTTTCTGCCTGGTGGTAGATGCCCCTTCCAACCGACAAGAATCCCCATTGGCAGCTTTCACTCAGCTTTATCCTTCTATCCTCCATCCTAACCTTGGACTGAGACATCTACCAGGACACGGCACTGATCCACTGCACTGAGACGTCATACGGAATGGGCACTGTGGTTATGAGGCAGGTAGAGCCTGGGCAAGGTGACTGCATCCCCAGAATGAGAGGCAACCCCAGAGGTCAGCACTTGAGTAAAGCAGGAGACAGCATCCTCTCCAAAGGGAAAGGCGAGTTTGCGATTTTTATTTCCTTTCTAACAAAAATAGACACACATCGACTTGGTGAGCCATTTAAGGTCCTGCAGTAGCCCTTCCCCCACCTAGCAAATCCTCTAGTCCATAGAGCAGCACAGAACACTGCCGGCTCTGGCTGGGGCTCAGAGTACTAATGGAAGCTAGGTCCATGAGATGCAGGACGCCCTGTGGTGTCGCAGATGTCACTGATGGGGAAAGCTGCAAGGTGGCAAGCCAACCTGGGAAAATTGTAAGCCTTTGGATGTCTAGGCAATCCCATTTGCAGGTAATTTGATTCCTTCTGAGAGCTTATCTTCCGGCATGATAATGGGCTTTGTTAGAGGAAGAAGGCTGATAACAGACCAAGTGACCATGCACCCAGGATTGCCCATTATGAGCTGGGATTTCTCAGAACCACCCAGGTCATTAAACGGAGTAGACCAGCATCAGTTATGGGAGGCCTCTGACAAAACCAAGCCAGGTCAGAGACCACCTGTAACATGCCAGAACCTGAGTGCTTAGGGCTCTTCCATGGTTTTTTTTTTTTTTAAATTCTTTTAACTTTATTCTTTGTGAATTTCACACCATACATTCCCATCCCACTTATCTCCCTGTCCCCTTCATGTACCCTCTGCCCTTGCAACCCCCTCCAAGCAAAACACAATTTAAAAGAAAAACCAAATACCAAACCAAACAAGAGAAAGGGGGGG